AAGCAGTGGAACCACTGAGCTAAATCCCCGGCCCCCCCCATTTTTTTTTTTTTTTTTTTTTGATACTGGGGATCGAACTCGGGTCCTCGAGCTTGCGAAGCAGGCAGCGGAACCACTGAGCTAAATCCCCAGCCCTTAATCATCTCTTAAATGAGATAAATAGCAGTAATTCTGGGTCTTGCTTTGTAAACAGTTGTAGGGATTTGATGTGGTGATGTGCATGAAAAGCTGAGCCTGGTGTTGAATGGTGTAAGCTTCAAAGAAATGTTATTGATCAGTAGTAAAATAAGTGGAAGGGTATATGTTTTGAAATCTTAAGTTCATTGTGGTGGAAGTTTTTCTGTATTCACCATGAAAATTAGCTAAAGTATGATTGATTTGTGTACTGTACTCGTTCTTTTTTTTTTTTTGGTACTGGGGATCGAACTTGGGACCTTGCGATTGCAAGGCAGGTGACAGAACCACTGAGCTAAATCCCAGGCCCTGTACTTGTCCTTCCTTGTTTTTCCATTTAGTACATTTGTCACTTTGGCAGTTTGTCTCTTTTTCTCTTTTCAGCTGCGGATCAAACCCAGGGGCCGGAGCATGATAAGCAAGTGCTGTACCACTAAGTTACAAGTGGCCCCTTGGTTCACGAACTTAATTCTTTCCATGATTCTGGTCACAAACCCAATTTGATGAGAACCAAGTCAATTTTCCCCATAAAGTCAACATTGAACCTTACTGTTGAATTTGATTCAGTCCTCATCCAGTTGGATTTGTGACCAGAATCGTGGAAAAAATTAAGTTTGTGAACCGAGGCACTGCTGTAGTGCTCCACCCCTTCTTGGCAGTCTGATCTAGTTTCTCTTCTCATTTCTCCTGCTCTACTGCTTGTAAATGAACAAATGAATAAAATATTCTGACTTCTGTTTTTTCTCATTTTAGTTTTTTATCATGATTGGGGTGTGTGTGGGTGGGTACTCAGGATTGAAGTAGGGCCTCTGGCATGCTAGGCAAATGCTGTACCACTGAGCTACATTCCCAGACCCTGATTCTTACTCTTCTGTCTTTATTATTATAATCATGAAATTGTGATCTTTTGTAGTTCAGAAATGGTTGTATATCAGTGTAACGGTTACGGAATTTTGTCTTATTTATCTCACTGTTGGCCTTTCTACTATTTCTGCAGCTAATTTTTTCTAAGTAAGTAAGTGTTTGGTTTTTTGTGTTGGGTTTCAAACTCATGGCCTCACACATGGTAGGCAAGTGGTCTACCACTAAGCTTTGCCCTCAGCCCTCTGCAGGTAATTTTTAATTATGTTTATGACCATTTTTCCTTACTGTTTTTTATGCCCATTTTAATTTGCATTGTGTCCTACCCTTTTTTTCTTTACTAATCTGTTTATGAAAATTCTGACCTGATTCTGTATATTTCTGCTTATTTGAGGACTTTCTTTTTTTTCTTTTTTTCTTATTTATTTACTTATTTTGGTACGGGGGATCGAACTCGGGTCCTTGCGCTTGCGCAGCAGGCAGGGAAACCACTGAGCTAAATCCCCGGCCCTTATTTGAGGACTTTCTTGGTTTACTATTTCTGTGGTACTATTGTGTAATAAAACTTTGTAAAGCACATTTCTTGAAGATCAGGTGATTATCTGAATGGTAAAAGCTGTTATAGTTCTATCTCCTGCATGCCCTTCTTGAGTTGAACATACGGTTTTGATGGTATTAATACCAGGGGTAGAAATAGGTGATACAGATCTGTTGACCATACATACATATGAGAATGTCTGTTCTCTTGTTCCTTTCATGTTTTTTATTTTGATACGGGGGATCAAACCTCAGGGCCTTGTGCTTACGAGGCAGGCCTGGAGCCACTGAGCAAAATCCCCAGCCCTCATCTTTCATCTTTATAGTTTGCAAAAATCCTACTTCTTTTACAGTTCCCTGTCCACAAGTTCTGCCTACTGGTTTTATCTTGGTGTTTGGACCCAAAAGGATAGCCTAGGAGAAACAAGCTATCTTTGAGGCTGGGTGCCTTGTTTAGGGAAGAAGAATCATTAACTAAATCTTAGCTATTTCACCATCAAGTAACTTTTCCTGTTCTAAGAAATAACATTTCCCTCAGCCACATTCTGTTCCTGTGTACCTTCTGGCTTCTAACATTACACCACTAGATTTCTTGAAGAAATAATCTTCACTGGTGACACCCCTCCCCTTCCCCTTCTGGCAAGTGCTCTGCCTGCATCCCTGGCCCTTTTATTTTGAGACAGGATCTTGCTGAGTTGTCCAGACTGGCCTTGAACTTGTAATCCTCCTGTCTCTGTCTCCAGAATAGATGAGATTATAGGTATGTACCATAATGCTTGGCTCTCCTTATTTTTTCAAGTTCTCACCACTTTTTCAGTATTGTTCTCTTAAGCATTGCCAAATTTAGTGACATCTTCTTGATGCTCAGTGTTTTTGGCTTTATTTAGCTCAATGTTTTGGCTACAATGACAGCTTTCTGTTGTGACAGTGTTACAGTTACAGTTATAGAATTTAGTAGTCTCCTAGGGGGGGAACTCCCAAATATTTATTTCCAGGTTGTTCATGCCTCTAGATTACAGGCTTGCATTTCCAGCTGTCAGATACCCCTGTGTACTGTGGGTACTTTAGCCATCACTTTTCTATTTTTGTATTCCAAATTTATACTAATGATGTAGTCACCCAAGCTTTAAAACTTCACAAACCTCTTTGACTCCTTGGTTTTGTTCTTTCTTTAATAGCCAGTTTTTTTTTTTTCTTCCTGCTTTGCCCATATTCTTTGTATATGCACTGCTTCACTCTTAACCACTACTTGGCATTAGTATGTGCCTGTACTGATTAGGTGTCTGGCTTTCACCTACGAGTCTCATTTATTGCTTTTCTTTTACCTATAGAATAAAATCTAGGCTTTTAGGCAGGCATTCAAGGCCTAGTCCATGAAGAAGTCTGCATGAATGGAAAGAAAGGTTGGAAAAGACTTTGTATTTGATATATGTGTGGGAGAGGACGCTAAGTTGTTGGTCAGAGATCTCCATATTTTGGGGTTGGATTTTTTTTTTCTTCTGCAATGCTGGCGTTCAAGCCTAGGGCTTCAAGAATGCTAGGTAAGTGCCTTACCACTGAGCTCCGTGAATGAGCTTGGATATTGTAACAGACTGTTTGATACCCATCCCAGTTGAAAAACATTGAACCATAGAGTCTGCCCTTTTACCAGTATTTCTGTATTAATTTTCCTTTCCCAGGCAGTTGGCATGGCTTTAGTATCAATAAGTGTTTAGGCTCCTCTGAGGTCCTGTCATCATTTTAAACTTGTGTACTCTGAATATTCCTATTTCTTTTGTTCTGTTTTTTTCTTCTCCTCATAGGCTTCTTCAGAACCAATCCCAATTAAAAATTGTAAAATTTTAAATGTTAGCTTGGTTTAAATAGCTGTTATAACATTTTAAATTTGCTTAATTATTTTATAGGAAGGACCATTAAGACCTGTTCTTGAATACATTGATCTGGTCAGCAGTGATGATGAAGAGCCTAGCACCTCTTATAGTGATGTAAGTACATTACATTTGATTTAAGTGTCTTCATTTGTACCCGTTAAGAGGTTTTTCTAAAAGAAGTTATCAGATCAACGATGGCTGTATTTAGGAGCTATTGTGCTTTAGAAAATGGCCTATTTCTTTTAGTGTGGTCCATGATAGCTAATCCAAGGAGTCTTTTGCCAGAACATCTACATCTAATTTTGTTTCTTTAGTTTCAAAGAAGATGTGAGATTATAAAATGACTAGGAAATTCCTGGAGGTGATACCTGATAAAAGAGAAATGTAATAAAAACTGTAAGCATTTTGGCTCCTCTTGCCTATTGTCTTTCCTGTACTGTGGATCCTTCCAATACCATGTGACCATAGAAAAGTTGTTTTAGAGCTACATGAAGATCTTGAGGAAATGGAAAATAGGGGAGGGTTAACAGCTATTACTTCAATCTTTATTCCTTTTACCCCACATACCTGGAATTTTTAATCTTAAATTGTGACTTGCTGCTTGTGGATTAAGCCCTTAAGCCAATACTTTCTTTTTTTGAAAATTGAATTGAGTCCATTGTAGCAATCTTGCTTTTCATTTGTCTTTCCCTTAGCCCAGATTTTATTAATGGGCTGTTTTCTTGATGGATTAAAGAACTTTTACTTATGACACAAGGGATTGAGACTTGGAGTCAGAATACCTAGGTTTGAGACCCACCTTTACTCTTTGCTATTACTGATACTTCAGATAAACTAACCTTTTAATCTTGTACTTTTGTTTTTGTTTTTTAATTAAATGAGAATAATACCTATCTCACAGAGTTGTGATCAGGATGAAGTAAGGTAACAAGTACATAAGCTCCTTAAAATTACAAACCATAAAGTAGGAATATTCAACTGGAAAGTTGTTACTCATAGTAAATGACAGAATTTTGAAAGGGGCTTAAAAATAACTCTAATAAGGGAGATTTAGAATTTTTGTTGTTCTCAATGTGACTTTCCTCATTATTAGCTTCCACTTGCTGACTTATACATATTGAATGGAATTTTTTTCTTTATTAATTCTTATTACCAATGGTCTTACCTCTCATCTTAGCATGGGACCAGGCAGCTGGTCAAGATAGCACCACTATTTTTACTTTCTACTTTTTCATAGACATAGTTGTCCTGTATTAATGACCATAGTTGATATAGGGTTTGGGGTAGTGAAGCTTGTGGATTTGACTTCTATTATTCCTTTGCTAACCTGTAGTGGGTTGTGTTTTTCATTTTTATTTGTAATATTTTAAAAATTTAATTCTACTGACTGGACATGCATCTCTGCGTTTGAAAGTTAACGTATTAAAAGCATATTTTTTTTTTCCCTTGGTTTTCTTGTTCATGTGGATAACCCAGAGAATGCCTGCATCTAAGGTGCCATCCTCTGAGAATCATCGCTCTAGCTGCAGTGTTCCTCTTCCCATTGGAGACAGCAGCTCCTCCTCTGGGAGTTGTGCCAGCAGTCCACAAAGGATAGTTTCTCAACTTTCCTCTGTTGAGAACCCATTGGAAAACCAGAAAAATGATCAAAATAATTCTGATAATAAGATCTCTGAGACAGAATCACTTAAACTATCACAAAATTATCAGACTTTGCCTTCATCTCCACTTCTGGTCCCCCAGGAATCTTTGGACTCTTCTGAGATCAAAGAGGATTTACCCATAGAGTCTTCTGCTTCACAGCATGGACAGGATGCCATCCTCTATCTCCAGACACAAGTGGCTGAGATGTCCCGAGTAATACGTGATCTGCAGTCCAAGAGCTGTTTTAGGTTTCATCATTCTAGGCCAAATGAGAATTCTTCAGTTCCTTGGGACCTCTCCACATCTAAGGAAGAAAATTTATCGACAGGTGAAGAAGCTGATTGCAAATCCCCAACAGCTGATGAAAAAGGGCAGCCAACTGATCCCGCCCAATCTAGTTTCACAGGTCTTTTGAAGAGAATGGAACAGAGAGGTGTTATAAAGAGGGTAACATTACAATCTGAAACAGAATTGTGTGAAGGGAAACCTGATTGTGTAACCTCTAAAAAACGTTTGGTTCCTCCATTACATCCTCTTTTAAGAATTGCTACCACTGAAGTTTTTAAGGACCCTGCTGATTGTCACCCTTCTTCCTTCATGGGACACAGGGTATATCCTGTGTCCAGGGATACCTCTCCTTTCCAACCAAATCCACCAGCTGAGGGCCCCATTGTAGAAGCATTAGAGCACAGCAAAAGAGGAAGCACAACATCTCCTCTAGATTCTACCTCAAAAGAAATGGAGGTCATGGGTTGTAGATTCTACCATGCTGCCTCCATTGCAGCCCGAGCTGCTAGCTATATGGCTTATATGACTCAATATCAGCGTAAGCTCTGGGAAGACATGGAGGATTTAGTTCATAACCCACAGTTTGATCGTGGAAAAGCAAGGTGTATAATATCTGATGGTATGGATGCAGGCCTTTGGCAGCTTTGTACTACTAGAGACATAATGGACTCTGTAGTCAGAGTTATGGCCATGGCAATAGACTATAGAAGGCAGGCCTGGCTCCGACTTACATCTCTCAGTAAGAAAACGCAAGACAAGGTCTTACACTTGCCCTTTGATGGTACTTCTCTTTTTGGACAAGATGTAAATGCTGTTGTTGCAGAAGAAAACAGTATTAAAGAAAATGACTATAAGGATCACAATAAATACTATAACCAACATCGATACTTTAATAGTCATGATCAGAAAGCATATTATCACAGTAGAGGATATTCCAGGGGGGATTGGTACAAACCCCGAAGCCATCCCTATAGATATAGAAAAAAGGGAGACTCTCCAGAACGACATGGATACAAGAATTAACATATTCAGCAGAATAATCATCCGAGATTCTACTTTACTTGTTTCATCCCATTCAAATAGGATCGAGTTTATAGGCAGGAGATCATCAATAAACTGAATGCATGTCTGGAATGATCATAGTGAATGTTTGAATCCTAGACTTTGGGAATGAAGTATGTAATGAAAAGACTTCAAGCTTTATTGGCCAAGTGAGTATTGGAGATTTTGCTGTAACGAGGGTTGGACAAAGGTTAGCCATTATTTCTGGTCCAAAAAGGCCAGAGGAGGGCACTTAGGACTCCAAATCCGCTTGTGATTGAAGGAAGTATATAGATATGTTCCTCAGGAAAATTGTGTTGGTAAACCAAGGACCAGCAGATTTTGAATCTGGAAACAGTTTACTGCTAGATTTCTATTTACTAAGAGCAGAGGCAAATCCTTCATGTTTAGGTTATCAGTGCTTTGTTCAGGCATCAGCTTGATAGATCTTTGATAGATCTTCATTAAATGACAGCTCTGCTAATAGTCTCTGTGTCAAGATGGTCAACTCACCAAGACTTCATGCTACTATCAAGCTCTGTGAGACTTTAGAATCAGCTATGAAGCTATGTGCCAGTTGGAATTCAAATCAAATTTTCCAAATCCAGTTTGCTTCCAGCTGGAATGGCTTTATGGTACAAGTCTGCTATGGATACCAGCTGGAAAGACTTTTCTACCTGTAACAATGTTGTAGAAATTTTTGTAGTAACTGTCTTCATCAAGACTGATGGCCACCATACCATCAAACCTCATAAAACTACATGTGTGATAATTCTTTGTTGTCATTGGTCCTAGTAGTCTTTGACCTATCAAGCTGCCATATCAATAAGTGGAAAGACTGTCATAGAGGTCTCACTACCATCTGGGCCTTTCACCAAGATGGCCTTCATAAACCTATCTTCTCAGCAGTTAATTTGTTTGAGCTTGGTAATGCATCATACTCTAAATATAAAGATGTGCATAGCAGTGCTCTGGAAATAAAAGATATTTACACCCTCAAGACATGCACATCAATTCTTTAGGAGTAAGATTCTTATTCAAAACATGGCTGACAATCTGGTCCTCTTAGCAAAATAAAACAAGGTGCCATCAGTCTAGCTTTTGTTGAGAAATCCTTAAAATTTAAAGCAAAACTGTGGATATCATGAAGAGAACAAGCCACACAACTCTGTTTCTGGATATCTAACTGATGATATTCATTAAAGATATTTTGAAAGCCTGAAATCAAGACTTCAAATGATTTGTACTGGTTAATTGGTCACTCATTCTAGTCAAACTCACCATAAGAGATGACTTATGTTTTCTACCGTACTGGAACTGGCAGCAGATACCTCAGTTACATGTGCCACAGTATCTTCTCTGTATCTCAAGGCAGTGGCTATGTGGTATACCAGCTCTGAGGGCCTTGTCTTCACAGCATGGCTTCGGGAATGGAGAAAATGTCAAGGTTGAGGGGTCTGAATACATCAACTACTGTTACTTGCTTGGCACCCATAAAACTTTTTTGGACAGACTTATATAATTCTGTAATTCCTTTGGTTTTTCAAACGTGTCTTTTTTTATCTGCTTGATCAAGGTATCGTAGGTATACTGTGAGTGGCATGTAGCACTGTTTTAGGGTTTATGTGGTTCCTTTTTGTCATAGTTCTTGCACAGTAGTGGTAACATTTTCTTGATGTCCTTTTTCATAGATTATTAGAAGCTTATTCCTCCCATCATAACTATACTGAGCATACTTTTTAAACCTACTTTTCTTCCTCTTGCCATAGAGGTTGAAGACATGATTGTCCCTGCTTGGAAGAAGTTTCTTTATTGTCAGATAATTTCAGGGTACTGTATTGGTCCTTTCTGTCCTATTTGTAGGTGAAGCCTGAACTAGTCTTGATAAAGATCACTTAGTAAATTTATCCAAGTTGTATCTAAAGTTAATATTTACCTTATTTTTTTCTGTTTTTCACAAAGTTAGATCCGTGTCAATGCTCTGTAAAAACTGTCTTTAAAAGAAAAAAAAACAAAGATCCCACAAAAAAACTAAGGGCCTAAGAATTACACATAGATTTTTGTAGCTTATAACAAGTATTGTACCAGTGGAACAGTCTTGTGCCCTTGACACTGGTGCTGTAATTTTCTCGTACAAAGACGAACCACCTGACATCCCACAGGAGAAAGACCTTAGGTTTTATGTGGCTGCGCATAAGTGTTACTAATTAAGGCGCTTTTAATTTCATTTTTCCCCATTTCTTTCCTGAATTACATGGTATGTCACCAGCTTGGTGATTTTTGAGATACCCTTATTTCCTAAAAACTAAACCAAATTAGTGCTTATACTCCCCTTCTCCTTTTAAATTATGGTTTAAAAAAACCCAAAATGTAGCACCTTAATAGTTTTAAGTGTATAATTTATTACTGTTAACCACATTGTTGTGCAGCTCTTTCTTAAATGTTTTAAAAACGTTGTTATTCTCTTTTGATACTTACGTTGGTCAGTTATAAAGTAAAAGTGACATTGCTTAACCACTTAAGCCCATGTATCTCTAGAAAATTCAGTTTTCCTAAAGTGAAAAAGTATTAGAAACCAACAAATTGGTGACCAATTAAGTAAATTGGTGAAAGTATTTGACAGTTGAATGGGGATAGGGACAGAATGCAATAGAGTGGGAATGGTGTTTACCTGTATATTAGTTTCCTGACTGCAGAAGAAACAATATCCCAGTACCCTTAGCACATTTATTTTTTTGTAATCTCTGGCATACTTGAATGATGATGGTGTTATAAACCTAAAAGTGGTTACTTGGTCTAGAGAGACGACCCCAGTAGGGTACAGAACTCATAATATTTAGTCAGATACATAGTCATTGTGCTTGCTATGTGCAGAGCCTGTGACAAAGTTCTTTATTAGGCTAACCTCTGATTTAAAATACCTCTAGGTTTTTTAGGAGGCCTTGAAATAGCTGCAAGTTTAATGATTTAGTATTTTCAAAAAAGATGTGTCTAATTACCTTTTTCTTCAAAATGTTATTTCTTGACTAGACAAAATGTATATGAAGAAAATATGATTTCTTGTAGTTACTATGTATAAAGAAATACTATCTCCATTGTTATATGAAGTGCCTTTTAAAATTTCACACTTATGTTTAAAATTTATTTGGTGTCTTGCATATATTGCAGGTGGTATTTGTGTGAATTTTGTACAGTATTTCAGTTTGTTTGTCTTCATTATATAATTGCACTATCTAAATGTACTCTCCTGAATGTTTTCTTTATAGCACTGTTGACTCACTTCAGAAAGTTGTATACTTTTCTCTCCCTTATTCAACAGAAATTCTTTTTATTTTTTAGTGATTGGCCTGGTTTTCTAGACATTGAGGCAGCTTCATATGTTCTAGATTTTCTGATTGAGTCATTTATCTCATATTTAACCTTGTTCTTAGCCATAGTAACAAAATGTGTTCATTTGGTAAGAAGCAAGGACATCTTAAAAAGCAGTAAATTTACTGACACTTTATGTATGTATATATATATACATATATATATTTATTTTAGACTGTGTGATAGCTTCCTTATCAGTATGTTACATTTACACTTTCTTTAAAACTGTGGTACCTTTATCAATTTAATTTCATTTATTTACTTAGCCCTCAAATGACATTTTGAGGGGAATATATGCGTTTTCAGGCTCCTTAGATACTATTTAGTACTTTATAATAGTACTACACTAATAATTTACTGAATTATACCTAAGTGACCTGATAATGTCCTGTCCTTAAGGGCCTGATACATCCAGGATAAGCGCTCAGGTATTGTAAACGAGGAGGTTGAAAAAAGAAACGCAGAATCCCTTCTGTAAAATTGAATACAAACATGAACACAGAATTAAGTAACATACTTATTATTTTTGAAGATACAATTAATTGGGATTCTGATGAAGGTTTGAAAATATGGAATAGATCTCTTTAGAAATAGTTTAAAGATTGCAATAACTGAAAAATTTTTTTAATGTGAGACGTATTTTGCCCCAGTCTTGCACTGTTCAAGTTACCTTTCTCTTGACATTTACCATCACACTTGATGGCTAGTCCAGTAATTGTCACATCTGCATGCATGTCGTTCAGTTGGCCAGATTCATTTGATGCAGTCACTACTTTTTTCACTTAAGAAAATGTACAGGTGGAAGTTATCAGTAAACTGATGATGATTATCGTGTCAAATGCAGATCTTTTTTTTTTTTTCAAATATGAGTTTGTAAACCATTAAAATTTATGGAAATTCCCTTTCCTGAATGGTGATGATATTGGTAAATTAAATCGGTTTTCTCTTATTAATGGGATATTCTTGTACTTCTTTGTCTTTTCATTTGTTTGAACTTACTGTAATGAAAACTTTGGTAGTAATGTTTGGTATGTGTGGCTCCTGTGGAATATGTCTGGAAGTGATTGCATTCCGGTCTTGTCCTTTTGATGTTACCCTGTCATATTCTTTGTATTGATCTTTTCTTCCCCTTTATGTAATACTTCCTAAAGTATGTCTGATTGAACTTTAATCTTTTTGAGGTAGATTATATTTTTTATTCTACCAGTGTATACTAGCTAGGATTTTGGCATGGCTTTGTATTTGTATACTTAAGTACCATGTCTTGGGCATTATTCTAAGAGATTTTCTAGTTTTCCCAAATGTCATTTTCATTAAACGTAGATAGCCAGTCCAGTCTCAAAATGTCCCTGGCTTTTGTCCCTTTATCAATTTTAACACCTTAAGGATAGTATTTTTCTCATCTCTGTGTAATCACATAAACGTGTTACTTACATATTATTTATGGTCAAATTCATTTGAAGCCCATAGCCTGGATTTATCTATGGCTTATGTATAGGTCTGATATGTTTATAATTAACTAGTTTTCTGTAAGTCTTAAGGGCTTTACTGGTTGCTTTTTGAGGTAACTGTCTACTTCCAATAGTTTGTCAGATTTTCTGATGGCTTGTCAAGTTCAGAGTGCTTAGATTTAGGACTTTGAAGATCTGTCAAGTTTTATTGTTTTCTAGTATTCTTGAGTATATTTCTTGATATAAGTGAAAGTGAATGTTTTATATGTGGCGGTATTTCAAAAAATTCTACTTTGACCATAAATGCTTCAAGTATTGTGTTATAGATTCTGTTAGTCTTTTTTAGCCCAATTTTCATAAGCAGTACATTTTGCTCATGTGCTTTCAGTTTTCTTTCAGCTGTAAGAGTGGCTCTGTTCCAGTATTCCGTTTTAAGGCCTACAGTTAGACCTCTTATTAACTTCCACTTTTATCTGTGATGGCTATTTCATACTATATTGGTTTATAATGTAGGTATGTGTTAAGTAACTATAGTGGTTTTTAGTCCTTTACATATCTTTAATTAAGTGATGTGGATAATGTAATAAATACATTACCCCAAGTCATTAAACACAGGTTCAAGTTTTCAATTCCATTTATGTTTTTTTTGTTTATTTATGTACATTTTATTTTGTATGTGCATGTGTTTGAGATGGGGGTGTAAGTTCAGGCTGGCCTTGAACTCACTTTGTAGCCCAGATGGGCCTTGAACTTTGACCAATCCTCCTGCATCAGGCCCAAGTGTTGGGATTACAAGTGAGCACACCTGGACAGTCAATTCCTTTTTTAAAAATTATCATATATATCTACTTGACTTTTCCTGCCATTTAGGCGTGTGATCCATTCCTTTCTGCCTTGAGTAGGAAATAGTTAATGTGTAAGTAGTATCATTTAGGTTCTTAGCACAGAATTGCTTTTGTGTTGGTATTTCTGTCATGACTTATAAGAGCTCCTGTGTATTCTGAAACGTTTTGGAACCACCTTGGTAGCCAGTTGTCTATTATTATCTTCTTCTCTCGGAAGGAAGTAGAAGATAGAGGCTCTACATCAGTAGTCTGTATGTATTAGGCTCTCCTAAGAGAGAAATTCATACTTACTTTGCAGATAAGGAAGCAATACTTGAGAGTCATTAAGGAGCTTGCTCAAGTGGTGTTGCTGAGCATTAATAGACTTCAGACTTTCAGTTCAGCATTGTACTGAGCTACCTCTGTGTATTTTAAAGGCCCTACTCATATCTTTACCTCTGTGATCAACTAATTTTCTTTCATTTACCTAAATTTTGTTCTCAATTCCTGGTTGTTTCACTTGTCAGATCAGGAACCCTGTCCTCTTAGTTCTCTGATTGAGATTTCATTGTGCTGGACTAAGATGATTCTCTAATACTTCCTCTAATTGGTTTCTGTTTCATGGAGTGCTTGTTTGTATTCTGTTCATTTTCAGCACTGGTCATTTTAGTCATAATTACTATTTTTATTGGCCTACCTTTTAATACTCATTTTGCTGTACTCATTTTAAGATATATGCTAATATATTTTTTAAAACTCATCTTGAAGATATTAGCTTAGTGGAAGAAAAATGGAATGATTTAAAGCATTTGGTATTTGAATTTTAAAGGCCTTGATCTCAGTATTAAAAAGTCCTTATTTTCTGAACCTATTTTCTTCTCAAATGAGGTAATACCTTGGAAGTACTTTAAAAATATGAAAGCCCAAAAGACATTCTTTTTTTTTTTTTTGTAATTGTGCTGCTGTGGGGTAATATTTAGTTTAGGTGGATACATACTTTTAAAAAAATGTATATAATAGCATGTTCATTTCATGCCATTCGATCATGTTCTTGTTTACAATTTTTAATTTATGTTACCAACCTAACACTGGCCTAAATCCTTGAAAAACGTATTTAAAGTAAAATAGGCTCTTTTCTCAAGTACAAACTAAACAATAAGAAAAGAATATAGAATGAAGAGTTAATGGTGTACAGGTGTGTTTGTATGATTTTTAAAAAAAATTTTTTATACTGGGTATCGAACTCAGAACCTTGCACTTGCAAGGCAGGCGCTGGAACCACTGAGCTAAATTCCCGGCCCTGTTTGTATGATTTTTTTTTTTGTACCAGGGATCGAACTCGGGTCCTTGCGCTTGTGCAGCAGGCGGCGAAATCACTGAGCTAAATCCCCAGCCCTGTTTGTATGATTTTTGATACATGACATTTTTCATTTTGTATTTTTTGTTGGAAGCAGTCACCTTTTTTTTTTTTTTTTGGTACTGGGGATCGAACTCGCGTCCTTGCACAGCAGGCGGTGAAACCACTGAGTTAAATCCCCGGCCCGCAGTCATCTTTTTAATTGTCAGGTATCTTTCAATACCTGCTATGTGCAGGCAGGTACTAAGGAAGGTCTAGGAATACTGAGGGTAAGAGACAATATATCGTGAGGGATTTAGCTCATTGGTTCTGGCGCCTCGAAAGCTCAAGGTCCCAAATTCGATCCCCGGTACCCCCCCCCAAAAAAAGAGGGGCAATATATCAAGAGAAACAAATACCAGTACAGTAAGGTTGCTGTGTTTAGAAGAATGCCTGTAGTGATGTTGGAGCAAAAAAGAGTCATCTACAGGTGTTAGGCAGACTTTTCTCATCAAGTGTTTGAGCTGAATTTTGGAGTTGTCTGTTGGGGAAACAGGAGCCAGCCAGTGAGGTAGAGGAGTTAGTGTATGCCAAGGGGAAACATGAGGTGTGTCTGGTTTCAAAATTATAGGGAGTAGCTGTAGGGCAATAGAAGTAAGAGATACTAAGCTGAAGAAAGGATGTTACCCATGTAGATATATTGGTACCTATATATTCATAAGTTACTAAGTTTGTATAGCTCTTACTTGTAAGGTTATAGAGAAGTAGTCTAGAAAATGGTTTGTACCATAGTCCGCTGTGGAAATCTGGAACAATTTATTCTTTCTTTTAAAAAACCTGAACTGGTCCCAAGGGATGCTCTCAACAGCACCTCTGGCCTCAGAGGAGCTTAAGGAGTGAGAGAATTGAAGGTGGTTGAGAAGAGTTTTGAAGATAATCTGCGTAATATCTCTTAGGTGGAGCATGGCATTCTGTTCTGGATATACAGTTGTATACTTCCGGGTCAACTTCTGACAGCATGGTGGCACCTTTGTTCACAAACTGAATTTGTTCTAGATTTTGGAAAAAATGGCCATGGTTGTGTTTGTCATCAGATGCAGAGTTTGCAGACAAAAAATTTTGCCAAACACTTCTGTTTGTGAACCAAATCGTTTGCAAACAGAAGTGTTTGTGAAGTGAAGTATAGTAGCACTGTACTTCCTCAGTGTAGTTAAATGTAGCTAATTTCCCTCCTGATTTATGGATAATTTCTGGGGGCACTTGAGAAAAGTGAAGATACAGAATATTTTGCATTGACATTGAGAGGTACTGTTTTGAAGTAAACTGAACTTTGTGCAAGTGGTATCTCCAGCAGCCTCCAGATACAATTTGTCAACTTTGTTTTTTGTCATTTGTCTTTCTGCTATTATTGCCACTTTGACAATTTCTCTTCTGTACATTCATTATTGTTTTCCTTTCCTTTCCTTTCCCGTGAGGCAGACCAGTAGCACTCAGGGTTTAAAAGTAACTCCCCTTTGTCACAACTTCATATTCAAAAATATTTAAAATTTTCCTGAGATACAGATTTGTATACTTTTTTAGTGTTCTGTACTAAGAGAAGATCAAAGTCATTTTCCTCAGAGGCTTTTTACAGAAAGATACTGGCAGTTTACTCAAGAATACTGGAAGAATCTTATTTGATAAATTTGATGGTACTAGCCTTCTTAACTAAGTACTTTATGGAATGGGGTATATCTGTATGTATGCTCTTAACTTTATTCATATAAAGCAAATTTCTCTGTACTTTGTAAACAGTTAAACGGGTGGGAAGGAGATTGCTTTGTGAAAAATAGAGTTTCCTGGTTTCAAAATT